ATCAAATTTTTGTATTTTAAATCCTAATTCAAAATTCTGATTTTTAAAAATACAAACGACAGCGTATTACATGGGCCACAGCACGTGATGTTCGTTTGCTTCCCAAAAAGCAAAGAGATAGCAGTGAACATGACAGTCCTCCTGCTATGGCTGTTCCACTCTCCTCTGCCAAATTTCACACTTCAATTCTCACACAATCACTCCCCTCTTCTTCCTCTCGTTCTTTTTCCGTCGGAAAACGCTTCTGTTGCTCGTCGTCATCAACTTCCATGGAACATCATGAATCGAAATTTAAGGAATTTCCTTATGCATCTGTTCCGCATAGAGAGTTAATGGTGGAACTTGTATCGACTGTGGAGAATCGTCTTGGAGAGTCTCTACTTCCTTGTACTCTGCCTTCTCATGTGCAGTATTTTGAGAATGAATCTGCTACTGCTCATGCTTCTCTCTATGTCAGATCTGGAAATTCCTCTTCTCAGGTACTCTCCGACTACCTCCTCAATTGATTCTACTATTTATTACCTATTCATTCGTTTTTGCAGTTGTGTCAATTATATGTAGTATGATATAGAATTACTTCCTGTTGGATGTTTTGTTGAATTAGTATATACAGGGTGAATAACAAATCTATGGACAAAGAAATTGATTTTCATAATAATAAAGTGTGATACCAATAGTTTAGAACCCTTATTTTCAAGGAAAAGTTTGTCTTGGGACTTAATGACGACACTGAAGTGCACATTAAGCGAAGTGGTCAACATGTGTAAGCCTTGCTTCAAGGCTTGAGCATGCATAAAGTATGCAACCAAAAAAAAAACGCCAAGAATTTTCTCCTAATGCCCTTCAATATGAATGAATACACTACTATCTTGTACATAGTGAAGTTGATAAAGAAAACAAGAAAATTATTATGTACTATAGAATAATGATTGAGAAAGCTAGATCTTGTCATCTTATTTTAGTGGATTTGGCTTATGCAGAAGAGTTAATCCATTACGCATTGTGCTTTTTGTAGATTGTCCTTTTTACTATGTATGCTAATTCTTTTAATAGAAGTAACATGAATTGAAATGCCAAATACTTATCTGTATAATGTGGTGATGGGAGTTAAGAAGATCAGCAAATGTATTTTTGGTTTTATTCACCCAATGAAGTCAGACAAGATTTTTATCAAATCTGTTTCCTTTGAGCTAATTTCAAATTGAGTATTTCTTGTTCAAGCTATATATCTTGCACTTTCTAGTAAATAACAATCCATTCGTTACAATTAAAAAATATATAACAAACAAAATTCGTGAATGTGCTGCAAACTCCCACTAATATTTTAATAGTTTGCAGTTTGTTCTGTGAAATACATCTCAACTAGTTTTTCTGTGATCTTGTCAAAGTAGTTTGATCTCTGCTTGTTCCCCATTCCCTAGCTTCAGGAGCTGTAGGGGGAAAATTCATATGATCTGCAATCTCACCTTCTCACCATTACCATTCCCAACTTCAATATCTGGCGGCACTGAGTTTCCCATCTGAATAGGTGCTGAGGTAAGTTGTGAACTAGTATCCAATCTGGAACAATAGAAGTTTCTTGCTCTGGTTTAAAATTCTGTGCACATCTCAGGATTTCATAGTGTATGACCGACCCAATGTGAATGAATGACTTGAAAAAATGTTATTGAAGTCTGTTTTGTTACAGAAAGTCAATGTAAATAGTGTTGTAGTTGTAGTACCCAATCTCGACTCTTCCTTTCAATTGAAATTGACTCACAAAAATTTTCCTTAGTTCTTTCATAGTAGGTTCCTTTGATAAATTTACCCACAATAGTCATTTGCAATTATTAGCCAAATTCACGAAATAGTCATCAGCAGAGAAATATATGGTTGGCTTTCCGAGATGAGTCTCATGCCTAATTTCAACAGGAGCTTCGGCGATTGAGGCATTGCCAAATCAGCTTGAACCTTTCTGTGAAGGTTGGTTTCGATGAAGTAGCACCCTTTTACCTTTCCCTGCTAAATTGGGATGTTTCTGTTGGAGTTGAATATTGGGGTTCTGATTTATCAGTGGCAACAGGGTTATGATCAGTTCCATTGATGTTGGTCGCGTCATCCGATTTCAATTTTGAAGAGGGTGTGTGAAATCTGAGGACACCTTTGGCTGAGGGGTTAAATGATTTTGGTGGGTGGATTTTGAATGGGTAGTATTTTCCTGTTGAGGTGTTGCATGCGTGATCTGCAAAAGAGTAGGCTGAGTGTTAATAGCAAGTTGGAGGTTCTGGTGAACTGTTAGGGGCAAGCTTTAGGAGTTTATTATTGTCCATGTGTTGTTCCTCTGAAGGATTGGAAGAAATAGGGGATGATGTTTATTGGTGTTGTGGTTGTTGGTGCTAGAAGGAGTTGATTATTGTGTGTTTGGGATTTTTCGGCTGGATTGGTTCAAACTAACCATTGGGGGTTGTAGGAGAGCGGGTGCGTTTTACTGAGTTGTCGGTGTAGGAGAGACTGCAGTTGGTTGAGATGAGTATGGATTGAATGTATAACTAGTGTTTTAGGTGGGTTCCGATGCACAATTGGTGTTTGCTGAAAAGATCAATAGATCTTCATAGAGAGAAGCTAAGAGAGTGTGCATCCAAAATTGACCAACCAATGTAACTGCTCGATTTCAAGAATTATCCTTGTTCATAATTTGTAGTTCTCTGCAAGTTGCATTCACCTGATGTCTTCTTGGGGAGTTATACATAAGGACTGCAAAAGCATCAGGGAGATAGCAATTTGGATCTGGCTTCTGTTCATTTATTCTTATCCAGTTCCATTCCTCCGCTTATAGTTAGTCATTCCATTGAGAGTTCTTTGACAAGTCCATTTAGTGTTCTTTTTCTAATGCCTATAATAAAAGATGAACTGGGAACACACAGTTAACGATTTCAACTTTCTCATCAGGAGTATAAGCAAGGTTAATATTTTTGCCTATTCTAAATTGTGACAGGTTGATTTCATACTTGGTAGTTGGGTTCACTGCAACTTACCCACCGGCGGAGCATTGAATATTACAAGCCTTTCCGTATATTTGAGACCTTCAACTGATGCACCAAACTTCTTAATTGAAGTTATTCAAAGCAGTCCAACAACTCTCATCCTCATTCTTGATCTACCTCCGCGAAAGGACCTTGTCCAACATCCCGATTACCTCAAGACCTTTTATGAGGAAACACAATTAGATAAGCAGAGACAACTTCTCGAGAAGCTACCTGAGGTAAAGCCTTATTTCTCTTCTTCTCTATATATTCGAGCCCTTGTCTCTCCATCAGCTATCTTGGTTTCGATAGAAACCGATCCTTCCCAGGCCATTCGCATTGATGAAATTATTCAGGATCACATAAGTCCTGTTGCTAAGGTAATGCTGGATACATGGTTGAATCTGTGTGCTTGTACTGAGAGAAGATTGACAGATGATGAAAGTAAAGATCTGGCTAAGAGGGATCAAATAATTAAGAATAAGACTATCGAGATAGATCTTGAATCAAGCTTCCCTAGGCTTTTCGGGCAACAAGTAGCTAACCAGGTTTTAGGAGTACTAAGGGAAATCTATAACAGTTGAATTTCTTGGTCCTGCTGCTGTTTGATAGTGTGATAATTGTATGTAATCATTATAATTCTTCAACATATAATACATTTAAAAAGATGTATATTGAGAATAACAATATGTATTTTACCAAGGTGTTATATCATATGCCACTTTGTAAAGGGGTTATATTCACTTTAACAGATCTAGAACTGGAATCAAACACGCATTACGGCATTAGAGAGAATTTTAATTAATTTTATTTTGATTTGATAAAATTGACAAGTAATTTAAGACAATCATTTACAATGAAGTGGACTATGAAGGGAGAAATAGACCATTTTTCCAATTGGATGGAAGAGGATTTAGGCCCAAAAAAAGAAAAGAATACTTAAGTTTGACAAAGCATTATAAACATTTCTAAGTTGGGATAAAATATGAAGTTGTGAGAATTAGTGGTTTTCTTAGCAGGTATTTTGTCATGCGATACCATATCATGATATGGAATCGTGAGATGAAATCAGCGTTTAAATATGTGATTTCATGTTGATTTCATCTCATTATTACGTATCATGAAATAGAATCTCAAATTCTTCAAAAATCATGATATGGAAATTCCATATCATGATTTGAGATGTTTAAATACAAAAATTAATTCATAAGTTTATATTTTGTTAAAACAATCCCACATTTATATTTACTGACTATTTATTTATATATAAATAAAATTTACAATCGTTTCATTACTTTTTAAAATTTATTATTCTCACAAACAAAAATTTATTATTACTTCAAATTTGATGAATATAAATGATAAATTAGGAATTGATTTGGTGAATGTAAATAAGAATGGAGGGAGTAATATCTATTCTGTTTTTTCATGATAAGAAAAAACTTCTCTTTCGGCTACATATGAAAATGTTTAAAGCAATTTAATATGAAAAAAGAAAAAAATGATGATGTATATTTGATAATTACTACTTCCAATATGTCTGATTTTCGTACGAAATTAATGCACTAAAAATGTGTAATAGCACACAAGTGAAACAAGATCTAAACCATTATGATATTAAGACACAAGTGAAAATTGTCATAGCTTGTGCAATGTTATATAATTATTTGCAAGAATACCAAAGAATTGATGATATATTTATAGTTTATGAACATGAAGATATAGTTGTTAATCCTATTGACCAACAAATAATAATTCAGATTAACAATGTTAGTTTGCCTTCTGGTCATATGATCAAGAAATGCAAGTTGAACGTGAGGAGATTGTTCGTGCTATGTAGGAAAATATATTAAAAACTAGTACAATATAATTCATGATCAATTTATTTTTTGAAAATATTTTTATTAATTAAAGTTAGATGAAACAATAACTTAAATGGAGAACAAATAACTTTGTAATAATTTATTATACAATTTTACTTGTGTATTTAATAAGAATAAATAAACAATTAAACTATTTTAATAATTTTATAATTTATAGAATTCTTATATTTATGAAAAAATATACTTTAACATAAAAATTACATATCATTACTCCATATGAAATGGCAAACTGGCCATTAATCTCATACAATAATTATTCCACGTCACAAACTATGTGTCATGCTATTTTTCTTATACATATTTTTAAAAAACATCAATTAAAATGAGTTTATTTGATTATCTCAATCTTTATTTATGGAAGATACAATATAATTAATATCACTTTATTAAATACTTACTTTATCAAAATATTCGTATTCTTCAATAAAACATTTATTGTTAAAAATAAAATAACTAACTTCGCTATATAGGAATACTGACAAGTATAGAGAAAGAATCAGGACCAGTATCCACAAATAAGAAAGTCTAGTTCACCAAATCAAAGAAGAACTCCTTAAGCTTCCTGCCCCCTCTTTTCCTCTACAATCTCAGGGGTTATATGACGGATTCAAGATTTTTGCTCAGGAATTTAAAGTATAAAGAAGAAATTTAAGTGATAATACAAATATATCGGTGAGTGTAATAGTCCCTTAACATGCTGTTTGTATAATAATCAAGATATTTCATTGGTTCATAAAGTTAAAAACTAAACTAATCAAATATATTAAGGAAAAAGAGACACTGATAAGAATTTTAGTGGATTGACTGTATTACATAAGTTAATTTCTAAAATACGTGAAAATTAAATGATGAAAAAGGAAGCGAGACGGGGGAAAAATATTTACCTTACCAATGCTAAATTTAACTTACTTTATCATACCGTATTAAACATTTCTTTCTACTTTTATCATGCTCCATCGAGCATTCTTAAAATTTCTTGTCCTTTTTACTTTTATTTTGTAATGTTTACTTTATTTTTCACTTCTTAAAATTTTTAACTTAGTATCCATCAATCACATATTACTACGAAATTGTCAAGATTCTTTAAAAGTGTGTAGGAATAGAGTTACTAATATTATAATGCATATTTATAAGATATATAAATAGTATTCTCAATTTTTTTAGTTGATATAATTCAGTTTACTAGGTTAGTTATGATTTATAAAAATAAATAACAAATAAATCAAATAAGCTTACGACTCTAAGATAGAATTAAAAATATAAAAGAAATTTCATGAATGCTGTAAATTAATGTTTTTAAAAGGATTTTAACAATATTTAAGTTTCTTCATTCAATTACATTTTATTTACCTTTTTTTTTAAAAATAAATGAATTATATTTCTACATCAATTTTAAGTTAAATGTAATTCATCACTTTTTAAAAGAGTTATTTAAGTTAGTATATGAAAAGTGTTACGTAGAAACAAAATAATATATATATATATATATATATATATATATATATATCTTGAATTTTTTTATCCAGGTGATTTGGTTGAACCCGCTAAGGTCCACCTAGGTCGCCCTCTGATCATTACCTCCTACAACAACATATATTTAGATTCTAAATCAATATAGGTCACGATTTTAGATAACAACATTTATTGATAAATTTTAAAAATCGTAAATATATATTAAGCAAAAATATAATTTTTTTTCATGCTTCTAGATGCACATTGCTCATCCTAGATTTCTTATATCAATCTGGTAAATACATGTTATATGTTTCATTTATATTTTTACTATATTATTATTAATTAATTTCTTTTATGATAATTAAGATTTAATTATAATAAAGTTTATAAGTTTTAATATAAACAATATGTGCCGTGTTATAATCCATTGAATGAGTGAATAGTCTATAAAGTTAGTACATGAATAATCATCCATATTCACTAGGTTTCATAAACCTTTTTGAATAAGAATGTATCTATTTATTATGATACTTAATATGGTGACTTTTGTAATGATTTCTCAACCTATAAATAGGATTGTTCATTTACTATTATGATATACAGATGAGACTTACATACACTTGAATAAGAAGAAAATTCATCTTCTTCTATCTATTTCTCTTGTCTTCTTCTCATTATGATTATATTTTTATGAGCTTGATTTTATATTGATAATGCTGGTTGATTTAGCAGAAATTGTATGCCTCCGATTATAGTTAAATCATGGTTATGAGAACAAAACTCCCAAATAAAATTTTGTATGAGATAATTTTATTTAACATGTTATGTATGCATCAAACCAACAAGGTTTCCCTATTAAATTGGTTCAGGGTCAGGAACCATATAATTTTCATCTAAAATGTTGAATGTGCGGTTATGATTTTAATTGTTCCACCACGCACAAAGATGAACTTCCAAATAAGGTTGGAATAAATGTTAGATTTTCTAACATTAGGAGGAGAGATGATTGACAGTTGAAAATTATGTGTGAGGTTAATTATGAATTATCTAGATCCTCGTTAAATAAATATGCGAACTTAAAAGTTCAAAGGATAATTCATTTGCATAATATTGCAAATCAATTGTCAGATGAATGTGCTGACCCTATGAAATAATTCAGCTGCAAATGCTCCAATATAAAGTCATTGAAGAACATAGTCTATAATACGCCGGAAGCGTAATAGACCAATAAATTCCAAATATAAAATTCCTTAAAAAAGGAAGGAGAAAATGATCAATATTGTCATGATAATGAGGCAAGTTCTATAAAAGAGCACATTGACATAACACTTCATAAAACTCCGAAAAAGGTTCAGGTATCTGAAAAATAAAGAAAAATGAAGAGATCTCGATAAGTTATGTCTTGTTAGAATCGATATAAAATAACCGTCGATGGTATCTTTGATATGAGGTAGCGCTCAATGATATAAATTGTGACGAGGATCTTGAATTCAAATCTGTCATATAGTGTGGACAGATAAATGGTTGACCAAGTAAAATGCACAATTCAAGCATATTTTGTTTCACTTAGAAAAGTGACATTTTGGATTGGTAGTCCATAAATCAAGGTATAAGATCAGTGGAGTATGATAAATTATTGTGCGATGGTATAATCGTAATATATCAAGTACAATTTGTGCCTTGGGGCATAAAAGTTTTTGCAAAATTCCTGACATTATTGGGGATGTTTTCTCCTATGTTGAGATGCAATGAACTTTGTTTTGATCTGACAATATATGAAAAACTTGAATGCATATAATGAGTAATTGTCATGTCTAACTAGACAATGAAGGTTATACGAAAATTTTAAAGCAATCGAGGTGTCTGAAGCATATAAAAGTTTGAAAGAAAATTTTTCAATAAAGCTTCAAGAATTCTTATATGAATTGAAATAGTCAAGGAAGAAAAGAGTACAAAAGAATGACTCTAATTGTCCTTGTATTTTTATGAAAATGTCTTGGTAAGACAAAATTTTGTCATGACCTACAGATTGATAATTTGACAAATGAAATATTTTTGTAACATTGCACATACACTGAAAAGTTTTGATGCAATTTTATATGGATAAATCACATTCATTGAATACCCCAATGATTATGAGATCACTTGACATAAATGATGATTTAGTTTGATCTCAAAAGATGGATGAAGAGTTTCTTGGTGATGAAACTCTATATCTTGGTGCAATCAGGGCACTAGTGCATCTTAGTAACAATATTTGACCAGATATTATTTTGCAGTAAATTTACTGGCAATTCAGTTTTTCCTTGATAAAAGAACATTGAAATGGTGTTGAACTGTAACGACTTGTTTAGTCGTTTTGAGTAGCAGATTTTAATTCTGGAAAAACTGTCTTGGTCGACAGACCCCACGACGGACCGTCGAGGGTGTCTCGTTCCAAAATACTTAGAATTCTGAAAATTGGGTACTGAAATCGACTCTCTGAACTTCGTGACAAAGTTGCAGGACGGACCGTCACAAGCATGACGGGCCGTCACAGACTCTTCAGTAAATTTCAGTCTCTGAACTCTGTGATGGAAGCAGCAGGACAGACCGTCGCAGTCACGACGGCCCGTCACAGGTTGCGTAATCCCAGGCTGAGTCGGATTTCTTTAAATGTTTTAAGGGACGTTTTGGACTATTCCTGCTATAATTATAAATTTAGTGGGTGAATATTAGTAATCCAATTTCTTGAGGGTTAAAGGAGATAACCTTAAATTAATTAGTGGGCTACTTTTACCATTTTTGATACTTAATTATATGTTAATTAGGGTAAAAGAAAGAGGGTTTGAATAAGAAAAATAGAAAGAACAAAGAGAGGGAGAATCGAACGAGAAAGAGGAGAAACGAGAAGAAGAACAAAGCTTTGGGAACTTGCTTGCTTGATTACTAATCTTCGGTGGAGGTAGGTTATGGTTTTTATGCTATTCGTAGTAGACTCTTAATAGCGAATGATATGTGTTGGGTAGTATTATAAAACCTTCTTTATGCTTAATTGTGTGCTTACATGATGTGATTATATAATTGTGATGAATAAGCATGCTGAGTCTATTGAATCTCTAATTCTAAATCTACCTTGTTAATGATGATGCCTTGGTATAAGAGAAGGCTTGATGAACTAAAGTAATGAGATTGATGATGCCTTGGTATACGAGAAGGCTTGATGAACTAAAGTAATGAGATTGATGATGTCTTGGTATAAAAGAAGGCTTGATGAATTAATAGAATGAGATTAGGAGAGCGGGTGCCACGAACCGACACGTAGAATGAGGGGATCGGGTGTCACGAACCGACACGTAGAATTAGGGGATCGGGTGTCACAAACCGACACGTAGAATTAGGGGATCGGGTGTCACGAACCGACACGTAGAATTAGGGGATCGGGTGTCACGAACCGACACGTAGAATTAAGGAATCGGGTGTCACGAACCGACACGTAGAATTAGGGGATCAGAGTGTCACGTTCCGACACATAGTAGTAGGGGAGCGGAGTGTCACGTGCCGACACAAGAGGAATAAAGATAATGAATCTTGGAATTAAGTTAATAAATTTGAACGAAAAGAACCTATTTCCCAAATGAGTATGGTATTGAGGCTTGAGTCCTCATGTGTGAACTTGGCGGTACTTATTAACGATTATAGTACTTGTTGTTGCTACATGTTGAGTAATGTAGTTGATTTTATATTATTACTTGATATATATTATTTTCTATTTTGAGTTGGCCGATGATACCTACTCAGTATTTGTGTTTTTGTACTGATCCCTACTTGTATGTTTCTTTCTTTGTTATATGTGGAGTGCAGCAAACATACCGCCGTCTTCAACTCAACCGCAACTCTAGTCAGTCTTCATTACTCCGGATTTCAGGGTGAGCTAATGCTTCTAGTTTGGACTGGATCTTCCTCTTCATGTCTTGATGCCTTGAAGTTCCGGCATGGACTAGCTTTTTATGTATTTTAGCTTCTTAGATACTCTTAAATTAGTAATTTGAGGATAGATGTTCTTGTGATGATGACTTCCAGATTTTGGGGACAATGATAAGTTTGAGTTTTAGAAGTTGATTATTGATTTTCATTAATGACTTTAAGTCTTCCGCATTATATTATGTTAATTAAGTTTGAAATGTTGGGGTTCAGATTGGTTGGTTCGCTCACATAGTATGATAAGTGTGGGTGCCACTCGCGACCCGTTTTGGGTCATGACATGAACACATGATTGAATATCCTCGAAGGACCATAGTTATGGATTTATCCTATTCCGAGGAATCCAAGACAAAATTGATTGTTTATGCAGATGCAGAATATTTATCTGATCCTCATAAAGCACGATCTCAAACACGCTATTTATTTTCATGTGGAGGCACAATAATATCCCAGCAATTAAAAAAATAAATGTTGCTACACAGAAATAAAAGCCCTCCTTGAAAAAAGTCGAAAGTGCGTCTGATTGAGATAAATGACACACCATATTTAGGAAATGTGTGGATTTTCTTTGAAAAAGAATATACCAACCACAATGTACGAAGATTGGAGACATCATCACAAGAAATTAAGTGATGTTTTAATCAGAGAAGTATAATACGCGTTGCACTCTTTTTTCTTGATCGAGGTTTTTTTCCCACTAAATTTTCCTGGCAAGGTTTTTAATGAGACAACAAATAGTGCGTAGCAAAAGATATGTATAAATCCATTGAATGAGTTAATGATCCATAAAGTTAATACATGAACAATCATCCATATTCACTAGGTTTCATGAACCTTTTTGAATAAGAATGTATCTATTTATCATGATACTTAATATGGTAACTTTTGAAATGATTTCTCAACCTATAAATAGAATTGTTCATTCACTATTGTATGATATATAGATGAGACTTACATACACTTGAATATGAAGAAAATTCCTCTTCTTCTATTTACTTCTCTTGTCTTCTTCTCTTTATGATTATATTTTTATGAACTTAATTTTATAACATGCCGAGATATTATAACAAATGCGGCCAATATATAGATCTCTAATATGTCCATCTCTTGCCTCTACAATTTTCACCGTCTATTCATAAGTTTATTTTAACATTATAATTAGTGCACTATACTACTTGGCATGGCTTTCGTACATAAATCTTAAATCATCTACCAATTTGCTCCATCAAAAGGAGTTTGCTTTGTATGGGTTTCTCTTTCTACGTAGTATGTGGTACACCTTTGAGAAAAGTGAATTTATGGTCTTTTCATAAAAATTGATATTTTATGTATATAATTTTTAAACTTAGTATAATATTCTTTGTTAACTCTCATGTTATTTTACCTTGTACATGTTGTTAGTAAACATTTTTTTTAGTTTCATCAGATGTTCAGTACGATTCTAATTAAATTTAAATTTGTGTCACGAAATTTCATATTGAGGTTAAAACATATTCCTTAACCTAAAACTTAAATATTTAAATTTAAATTTGTTTCACGAAATTTCGTACGAAGGTTAAAGCATATTATTCCTTAACCTAAAAATTAAAACTAACATCAAACAAATTCATCACCAAGTCTATTAACTACAATCAATATAACAAAGACAAAATTTATAGCTAATTTCAATAAATTAATAAAAGAAAGAGGATGTATTTACTCTTTATTAACCAAGAAGGTAAGTGCATCAATTAAATCATTTAAAAGAAAAGAGAAAACAAATGACCACCTAAAAATTACTAGAACTAAGTAATTAGTGTACTACCATAGATTAAATTAAATTAAATAATTAAGTTGTTCTAAGCAGACTAGCTAACCTAACTAGTGCTACCAATTATTAGTAAGAATCCTAGAATTTCATTTTTCGTATTGGGACCCACTCAAAACGACCTTCCAATGGTTCCTCCTTCTCAAAGTCGAAGTTGTAACTGCACGCAAATCAAAATTTAAAATTTATTAAATTAATTGAAAATTGATACAGATAACTTCTCATACGAGGTTAAAAGGAATTGAATTTTTGCTTGTTTGGTTAAAAATATCAAAAAGAATATTAACTATTTTGGAAATTTTAGGTTGCCATAATATTATAATTCTCACCTACAAGCAATCACTTTTTGGTAAAATAATTTGCATTCGTAATATGTGTTTATATTAACATAAAATATATTATTACATAATTTAATGAAGTAAATTAACTATAAATGTAAATATATGATATGCATATATTGAATGCTCGATGGAGATAAATTTTAACATTTGTGTGTAGCCTCAAAATTGAATTGGAGCAAACGAAAAATGGGAAAGAAAGAGAAGAATAGTCAAGAGTCAAGAATTTAATACGATATGAAAAATCGAGAGAGAGAATTAGGTACTTTTGTCGAAGCCTTGTAGATATCCTTTGCTCATGTCTTGTGAAAAACTCTTCAAGTTCTTCTGTAGTCGGAATTAGTGGAGGCTCCGGTTCTTCCAGTGGAAACAGCATTTCGTCCAATTCTACTTCTTCTTCCAGTGAAGGCATTTCGTTCATTTCTAGTTCGTCAAATTCTTCCACTGAAGTCATTTCGTCCAATTCTATTTCTTCGCCGAATTCTTCTATTTCTTTCAATTCTAGTTCGTCAAATTCTTCCACCGAAGCCATTTCTTTGCCGAATTCTTCTATTTCGTTCGATTCTAGTTCGTCAAATTCTTCCACTGGAGGCATTTTCTCCGATTCGTACTCTTCTTCAATCAACTTCTCCTCTCTGCATCAATAACAAAAAGGAGAGATGCTTATATAATACTACTAGACCGTTATAATATGATCGATCATTTTTAAAATTTGAATAGAGCCCAAATGATAAATAACACTACTAACTTCTCTGCAACTTCCCCACACTTCTCCTGCAAAAATTCAAAATTCAAATTTAAGATATATCCAATTTTAAATCTCCATAAAAAGAAAATAAAAAAACAGAGAAAATTCAGTTAAATTAAAACACTGTTTGGCGTACATCTAGATCTCGTGATTTCGAGTTGCTTGAGCAACAAGACATTGAACTCCCGTCCGGTTCATACTTATCAGAACTCACCACCGGAGTATAATTATCGCATATCTTCCTCTTTTTCCTCATCATCAACAGTACGTCCATATCAACTACTACTACTTCTTCTGACAGTTCGATAATAGTAATAGGAACATCTCCTATTGTAAAATTTTCTGTATGTTTGGTCAGATTTATTTCAATTGTGAAACAGTAGAAAGAGAGAGTAATGAATTTTGTCGGATTTTGCTGCTTATTATTATTGGCTGATGAGTAGTGCTCTCATTTATGTGTGGTTATCCAGACACACACCCGTTTATCTAACGGCGACTAAACGGAATTATTATTGTTAGATTTTGAAGTTTATAAATCAAAGCTTTTTTTTTGTTTCATGACGAAGTACAAATGTATAATTAACTTTAATTTAAATATATCTTTAATTCTATTAAAATAGGACTATGTAAGGTGTTCTTTTAAAAAAAGAAAATAACATGAAATGACAAAATAATGAGATCTAATAATAAGTTATAATAATTTAAAAATACTAAATCATGCATAAATAAGTTTAATAAATAGTTGTTGCATGACTAAACATTGAAGAAAAATTAAAATTAAGTTATGTATTTTACTATCTAAATCAATATAGAATTAAAGAACAAATTTTTATTATTATTGTAATTTTTATTATTGAATTAACTTTTTTTCTATTCAAATTAGTACTGATTTAATTTTAATTTAAGCTTTATTAGAAACTGAAAAAGTGTAAACTAGAAGCTAAAAAATTGTTTCGGTAGTTTTGGTGGAAAAGTTTGTTAACAGAATGAAAAAGTTAAAAACTAGAATATCTAGGTTTTAATTGGTTTAACTTGGTATGACAGAACACAAAATTCAAGAAATTAGAAAATAAAATTAATCTTATAAACTTAAATTGAAAAAAAAATGTATGAAATGCCATAACATACTTCTAGTAGTATTTCTTGAATTTAAAAATAAAATAAAACTCATATTTTCAATCCGGTATTGTAGATTAGACAATTTTATTTTTTCACAGGTTAGAAACAATTGTTATCTTAACGTCTTAATTAAGGCTAGAAGTGAAAAAATTAGCCTGCTTAATAATTAGTTAATTATTAGATTAATAATTAGCTTAATTATTAGCTTTATTATTTTGGTCCCGTTAAAGTTGGTTTTAGTATATACATTAAGAAAATAAAATGAATCTTATAATCTTAGATGGAAAAAGAAAATGTATGACGTACCACAACATACATACTTCTACTACAACTTCTTTGAATTATAAATTTATATCGTTCTATTACTTATAGTAGATTAGATAAAATTTATTTTTATAGGTTAGAAACAAATTGCTATCTTAACGTCTTAATGAAGGTTAGAAGTGAAAAATTTAGCCTGCTTAATAATTAGTTAATTATTAGATTAATAATTAGCTTAATTATTAGCTTAATTATTTTAGTCCCATTAAAGTTGGTTTTAGTATATACATTAAGAAAATAAAATTAATCTTATAATTTTAGATGGAAAAATAATCTATGACGTACCACAACATACTTCTACTAGAACTTCTTGAATTATTAAAAAACCTTAAACTTATATCGTTTTATCCCGTATCGTAGATTAGATATAATTTTATTTTTTTATAGATTAGAAACAAATTGCTATCTTAACGTTTTAATTAAGGCTAGAAGTGAAAAAAATTGGCCCTGCTTGATAGTTAGTTAATTATTAGATTAATAATTAGATTAATTGTTAGCTTAATTATTTTGGTCCCATTAAAGGTGGTTTTTAGTGTATACATTAACCTATTGTAAAACTTAAGAGCAAAAGAAGAAGAGTAGAAGAATATAAGATAATAGAGGAAGAATATAAGCTTTCTTACTTTCTTTCTTTCAAGTGTATCAACATTGTTCTCAACACCACTATTTATAGGATTACATTGAGGAATACCAAAGGGTGTCATAAACATTACATTAAACCTTGAGAATTACTTACTACCCATTATGGAGGAAATAAAATTAGGAGTTATGCTCATCCATTTGACCACCTTATCAACAACATTGCTACCAATAAAAGATGAAATTAACCTAGGAGTTATGGTCATCCATTTGACCATATTATCAACAACATTACTACTCATAAAGAAGGAAATTGACCAAGGAGTTATGGTCATCCATTAATCCACAAAAATAATCTACAACACTCATTCTTGGATGACCATTGATAGATAATTTGCCTCGTTAAACCTTGCTAAAAAAAATCTGTGGAAAAAAATCTTAGTGAAGGACAAAATAGTACACATATCTTGTTATACACTTTATTTGATGTCTCCTTAAAAACCTTGTTAGGAACCCATTGGAATAAAATCTAGGCCAAGGGAAAAAGAGTGTAGTGCGTCGTTTACTCCCCTTGTTACAAACATCATTTAATTTCTTTGGAGACGACGCATTCCAATCTTGAATACCAACTTTTCAAATGTTGAGGTTGGTAATGCTTTAGTGAATAAATCCGCCAAATTATCAACTGAGCGAATTCGTTGAACATTTATTTCACCTTTCTTCTCAAGAGCACGAGTGAAAAAGAATTTTAGTGAAATTTGTTTTGTTCTATCTCCTTTATTATATCCTCCCTTTAGCTGAGCTATACATGCATCATTGTCTTCGTACAATGTAGTTGGAATATCCTTTTTCAAAGAAGAACCACACATTTCTTGAATATGTTGAGTTATTGATCTCAACCAAACACACTCCCGACTTGCTTTATGGATGACTATTATTTCTGCATGATCTGAAGAACTAGAAGCTAATGTTTGTTTCATTGAACGCCAAGATATAGTTGTGCCTCCATTTGTAAATAAATATTCTGCCTTAGATCGAGCTTTATGTGGATCAGACAAATATCCAACATCTGCATAACCAATCATTTCTGACTTGGATTCATTAGAATAAAATAATCCCATATCAATGGTTCCTTGAAGATATCTGAGTACATGTTTTACTCCTTTCCAATGTCTCTTTGTAGGGTCCGAACTGAATCTTGCCAATAAACTTATTGCAAAACAAATATCTGATTGAGTATTATTAGCAAGATATATTAGTGCTCCAATAGCACTAACGTATGGAGTTTCATCATCAAGAAGCTCTTCATTATTTTCTCGAGGTCGAAATGGATCCTTATGTATGTCAAGCGATCTCACAACCATCGGGATATTCAATGGATGTGATTTATCCATGTAAAATCGCTTTAAAACCTTTTCTGTGTATCTCACAACCATCGGGTATTAGGAGTGCCAATGATGTTTAAATCATCAACATACATAACTATTATAACAAAATCAGATCCAGACCTTTTTGTTTATAAAAACACAAGGACAAATAGGGTCATTTTTGTATCTTTCCTTTAGCAAAAACTGGCTAAGACGATTGTAACATATCCGTCCTGATTGTTTAATCCATACAAGGATTTTTGAAGCCTCATCGAACAACTTTTTTGCGAATTTTTATATGCTTCAGGCACATTGAATGCTTCAGGAACTTTCATAAAAATATTGTGGTTCAATTAGCCATATAAATAGGTTGTGACAATATCCATTAGACGCATTTGAAGCTTCATATGAACTGCCAGATTTATTAGATACCTGAAGGTAATTACATCCACTACAAGAGGATATGTCTCTATATAATCAATACCAGGCCTTTGTGAATAATTTTGTGTCACAAGTCGTGCTTTAAATCTCACAACTTCATTTTTTTCATTTAGTTTTCGCACAAAAATCCATTTGTACCCCAGTGGCTTGACACCTTCAGGTGTTCGGACTATTGGTCCAAAAACTTTACGTTTTTTAAGTGAAGTTAATTCTGCTTGGATTGCCTCCTTCTATTTTGGCCAATCATTTCTCTGTCTGCATCAATTGATAGATTTTGATTCAAAATCCTCACCTTGTTGTATTATTTCAACGGCAGCATTATAGGCAAAAATATTGTCCACCACAATATTATTTCGATTTCACTTTTTTCTCGTCGAGGCATAACTTATTGAGATTTTTTCATTCTCATTATTTTCATTTGTTTGGACACTCTTAGTGGTCTTGTCATTTGTTATGTCCCGGAGCTCTTCTTGACCAATTTCCTCCACGATATGATCTTCATGATCATTTGTTCTTTTTCTTTTTTGAGGATTTTTATCCTTTGAACCAATTGGCCTATCACATTTTAAAAGTGGTTTAGACTCATTTGCTTTAACAACTTGTCCTATTGGGAAATCAACTCAAACTGGAGCATTTGCAGCTGGAACATAAGATTTAGTAACCCTTGGAAGGTTAGTAAATGCATTTGGCAGTTGATTTGAAACATTTTGCAAATAAATTATCTTTTTAATCTCTTGATCATATTGATTTGTTCGAGGATCTAAATGAGATCGAGATAAAAAATTTCAATCTATCTCTTTTTCCAACTGTTTATGTTCTCCCCCTAATGTTGGGTATACTAATTCATCAAAATAACAATCAGCAAACATTGCCGTAAATATATCTCCTATCATAGGTTTCAAATATTTAATAATAGAAGGAGATTCATACCCAACATACACTCTCAATCTTCTTAGGGGACCCATCTTTGTGCGTAGCGGTGGGACAGTTGAAACATATACCGCGCACCCAAAAACTCTAAGATGGAAATATTTGGCTCATGACCAAAATCGAATTGTAATAGAGAGAATTCATGATAACTAGTTGGCCTTATTCGCACCAATACTGGTGCATGCAAAATAGCATGCCCCCATATTTAAAACAGGCAACTTTGTCCTCATTAACAATGGTCTAGCTATCGATTGGAGACACTCAATCATAAAATTCTGCTAGACCATTTTGAGTATGAATATGAGCAACTGGATGTTTAATTGATTCCCGTGGACAAACAATAATCATTAAAGACTTGCAATGTAAACTCACCAACGTTATCAAGACGAATGTCTTTATTGCATAATCTGAAAATTGTGCTCTTAATCTTATTATTTGAGCTCACAACCTCGCAAAATCCATATTGCGAGTTGATAATAAGCACACATGTGACAATCTTGTTGATGCATCTATCAAGATCATATAATATTTAAATGGCCCACATGGAGGGTGAATTGACCCACATATATCACCCTGTATACGTTTCAGAAATGAAGGGGATTCAATCCCAACCTTAGCTGTTGATGGTTTAATAACCAATTTTCCTTGAGAACAAGCAGCACAAGAGAATTTCTTTGATTTAAGAATTTTCT